AGACCTTCTGGTCTTCTGTAGGAAGACCTTCTGGTCTTCTATATGAAGACCTTCTGATCTTCTATACGAAGACAATCTGGTCTTCTATTCGAAGACCTTCTGGTCTTCTAAGACCTTTTAGTCTTCTATACGAAGACCTTTTGTTCTTCTATACGAAGACCTTTTGGTCTTCTATACGAAGACCTTCTTGTGGTTTTTAATATGAAGAGAACTTCATGGTCTTCCATACAAAGACATTCTGATATTCTACGAGAAAACCTTCTGGTATTTTGTAAGAAGATATTCTACTCTCGCATATTCTGGCCTTCTGGACTTTTACACGAAGAGTTTATATCTTCAAAATATATGTTACATCATTACAACAAACAACTTTACTAAAATCATATTTTTGTATCTGAATAAACATAAACAACTAAAACAAATGCCAGTGCCTCTCATTCAAATGTTTTCTCTGCAAATTTATGTATTTTTAGATGTCTCTCGAAACTATCACAAACACAGCACGTGGTCATAAAAAAAACAAACGTTAATTCATAAATCTAAACCCAGTTCTGACTTATCTCATTTCCATGAGAGTTCAGGTGGGGGATATGCAAATCCGACAAAACAAAATCACAAACAGCTTTGATGATTGGCATATTTTTTTGGTCTGTTTGTTGGAATGTAATGGCTTGGCTATTCAGAATTTAATCAACTGCCATAACAGAAAATAGAAAACGAATGAAAACGTATTTTCAATATCGTCTGTTCCAGATTCATAAATTGAATGTTTAATGGTCTTCTTCCTCTTTTTTTTTGGGTGTGGATATGTTTGAAATCTGCCAACAATGAAACTGATATGCATTTGAACATATGGAAATTTGTTTGACGACAGGTCAGGTGAAAATTTAGTGAAACCTTTGGAATACAATACAAATTTCGCTAAATGACCTGCAAGTTTTCTCCTCATTAATTTCTGTCTGATTTTCTAGTTTTTTTATGATTTTTCACCTTAAGTCTAGTGATATTGTCTGAAATATTTATTGGCATTGCTATTGGGTAAATCCAGCTTCTTATTCTCTGCCAAAATAAAATGGCAAAAGACTGGCTCGTAAACCTAACATCAAATGGTCAAATGTTGAATATTCAATTTATTTTAAATACATTTTGAATCAACGGTCAAAGACACACCAATGCATAGAAATGAAACATATTCTGTTTCATCTCGATGTACCGATATCACTTTAAAATGGCACTCGTGCATTAATTAATTGTCTCAAATTCAAAATCTATTTTAAAAATATGAATTTAAACAGCAGTGAATTGGAATGATGCATTGGATTTGCCATATGGTCTGCGCGCCGAAAATCAAACACGTTTTTCATTCAAATTTTATTTTTGAATATAAGTTTCTACACGAGCAGAATGGTCATTCAATCGTTTGAAGATTTGATTACACTGAGAGACAAAATTAAATTATTTTTTCAATGATAATAGGAAGTAGTAGAGCTAAACAAGAAAATACGTGTAACGGCCTTTTAAAAATGTTACATCACAAAGTAGCCTAAATAGATAATAAATTTTGAAATTTTCGAATTAAGATTGCCTTGAATCCGTTAATTTTCGATACGTAGTATCGTTAGCCACATTACATTTAAAATACCAAGATTATAATGATCGAAATATTAGTAACCCTCAATTTCTTCAGTGTAGAATATTTTGAATAGGTAGGATCTCGTTTAGGGCAGTTTTTCATGAAGGGAACTTTAACAATTGCTAAAAGATTCCGAATACTACCACTTATATGAAAACCGTTATATGGAGTCTATACGAATACGTGGACCTGCATACAAATTTTTTTGCCATAGGTTGTAGTACCCATTAACATCTTCCAATACGAAATTTAAAACGATTCCGGTGAATATTGTTGCTAAAATCATCAACATACCGAATATCGGCAGGTACCGATATATGGGGGCTATACAAAGACGTGGACCTGCATACAAACATTTTTGTCATAGGTTGTAGTACTCATTAAAATCTTCCAATACGCAATTTAAAACGATTCCGGTGAATATTGTTGCTGAAATCATCAGAATACGGAATATCGGAAGGTACCGTTATATGTTGGGCTATACGAAGACGTGGACCTAAATACAAATGTTTTGCCATAGGTTGTAGTACCCATTAACATCTTAAAATACGAAAATTTAAAACGATTCCGTTGAATAATGTTGCTGAAATCATCAGAATACTGAATATTGGGAGGTACCAGGTATATACGAAGACGTGAACCTGCATATAAACATTTTTGTCATAGGCTATATTACAGATTACAAACTTTAAATATGAAATTTGAAATAATTCCGGTAAATAATGTCGCTAAAATCATGAAAGCACCAAATATCTGGAGGTACCTTTATATGTGGGCTATATGAAAATGTGGACCGACATGGCCTATTAACGAACTGAACCTGCCTACTGGTAAACTATGCATATATGCAAAATTTTAGCCTTCTATCTCAATTCGTTCGAAAGATAGCGTAGTTACAATGGACAAACAGACGGACAGACAAGCAGACGGAAACCGCTCGATCGTCTTAGAATTTTACGCTGATCCAGAATATATATACTTTGTAGAGTCTATTATGAATATTTCGAAGAGTTGCAAACGGAATGACACAGTTAATATACCCTCCATAGAATGGTGGAGGGCATAAAAATTGAAATTTGTCGCACAGTCTAATTTCAAGACGCTTTGGGAGAATTTAGACCAAAAATCAAACTTAAGGATTTGAGCGCTGTTAATCCCCCCCTTTACCAAATTCAGTACAATTATTATAATACACATACATAAAACTACCCCCTTCTCTCAGTCGCACACACCAACAGTGGGATCCATATTAAATTTCAGAATTCTTGTTATATTCCTACACCCAATACCAAAATTAGTATCACTTAGTACTTTTCGAACACATTTTACATTACATTTTCAAAAATGCCTCCATATCTCGATCCCAGATAGCAACAGAGACCTCAATATCAAATGTCACGGTTTCAGCTCTATCCCTTCATCCAATACCAAATTTAGTACCATTTACTACTTTTCCACATTTCCACATCACCGCAAAATCTCAAACACAGATACCAACAGTGACATCCATGTCACATTTTAGGTCTATTCCTATACAACCAATACAAAGTTTATTACTATTTAGTACCTTTCGTTCATTCATAGTACGCATTTTAAAAATCACCTCCATATCTCAATACCTGATACCAACAGAGACCTCAATATCAAATAAAAGGATTCCAACACTATTCCTTCACCCAATTTCAAATTTAGTACCATTTTGGTACTTCTCGTATTTCCATCGTACACGTTTCCAAAATCATCTCCATATTTCAATCACAGATACCAACCGTGACGTCAATATCAAATTTCAATGTTTTAGGCCAATCCCTTCACCCAATACCAAATTTAGTACTTTTCGTACAAATATAGGACTCATCTCCCCAACCACCGTCAAATCCAAAATACACATACGAATAGTAATCAAAATATGAAATTTCAGAATTTTATCTCTACTCTTTAATCCAATACCAAATGTAGTACCATTAAGTACTTTTCGTAAAATTATAGCACACATTTCCGAAAGCATCACATACAGGGTGAAATGAAAAAACTGCAATCAACTTCAGACTGCTGTCATTTCTAAGCCACTCGTCCGACAACTGTTAAAATTATTCCAGTGACAGCTCATTATATTGTTTACAAGCGTACAAAAGCATTTTAGTGAGAATTTTCCAGAAAAAAAAACTATTCGTGATGGAATTCAAGCGTGATAATGTGATTTGGCTGGAAAACCACAAGTGGCTATCGTAGGAGCACTTCAGCATTTAAATGTGAATAAATCTTTTGTGTCTCGTACAATCGCTCGTTACCGTGATACTGGTAGCGTAACCCGACAACAAGGAAAGTGGACGGAAGAAAACAGCAACATCAGCAGAAATGGTTCGAAAAGTAAAGAAGCGTCTTGATCGAAACCCGCGTCGCATTGGCCGAAAAATGGCTTGTGAGCTGAACATATCGCAAGATACCATTCGGCAAATATTGAAAAATGAGCTCGGGGTAAAGCCATTGGAATTCCAAAAATTGCAAGAACTTACACCGCAACAGAAAGAAAATAGACTCAAAAGAGCTAATGAGTTGCTTCGCTTGGCCGAAAGTGGTGAACGGCCGAATTTGGTTTTCTCCGATGAGAAAACATTCGTTGTCCAGCAGTTTGTAAACAAACAAAATGATCGTGTTTACTTACCAAAGAGTCCAGCTGAAAATGTACACCTTCCGTTGGCCACCAGAACTCAAGCACCGGCCATGGTCATGGTGCGGGCCGCCATAACAGCCGATGGTCGCTCTTCGCTCTTATTAATCGACAGTGGCTTCAAAATAAATGCCGAATATTATTGCGAAAATATTCTGGAAGGTGTATTGGGCACGTAAACATTTTGGCCGCAGACCTTGGACATGTCCAGCTGGACAGGTTACAAAATGAGGTTCCTCGCTTCATTTCCAGGCCACCAAAATCTCCGGATACCAATCCGTTGGACTATTGCGTCTGGATTATTTTGGAAAGCAAGGTTGGTACTAAAAAATGCCAAAGTGTCTATCGCCTCAAGCAAGCGCATCGCCGGAAATGGGCCAAAATACCACAGAGCAACATTCTGGCAGCGCTTAACGGTTTCATTGGCCGTTTGAAGGCCAATAATTCGTGCCAAAGGTGACCACTTCGAACAAATCTAACCATATTCTAAAATTTTATGCTATTTCCGACATTTTTTTCTTTCATTCAATAAAATTTATAAAAAAAAATGTTAAAATTATGGCGTTTGACTTTGTTGCATTTTTTTTATCTCACCCTGTATTATATAATACATTATAAAATATTAAAATGGTATCAGATTTGAATACCATTTTTCTAATTTTATTCTTTTTTTGAATATTTTTAAATTCATCATTTTCAAATTCCCAAGTTCCGCCATATAACAATTTTCTTCATCGTTTTCTTCTTTCTCTGTGATTTCATCAATATTATTCCTGACATTATATCTTCTTCTGCATCATCATCGCCATCACTGTTTCCTTCATTTTCTCCATCAAGTGGATCTTCTTCAGCATCTCGACTACTTCCATCATGATTTTCTTTCTCATTGTTATCATCATCAACATCACTATGTTCCTCATCAGAATTTGAATCATTTTCACCACTGTTACCATCTTGCTTTTCATCCTCTTGATCGTCTTTGGCCTGATTGTTTTTATCTCCATTTTCTTCACCTCGATTTTGATTATTTTCTTCACCTTGATTTTCTTCATCTTGCCTATTTTCTTCTCCATTTTCCTCATCTTGATTTTCATCATCACCTCCGCCCTCCTTACCACCATGTTGTTCTTTATCGTCACTTTTATCGCCAGTCCCACTGTCATTACTTTCATTCATCGCTTCGTCACCATCTTCGTCTTTCCCACCTTGATTTTCTTCATCATTATTGTCATTATCACCACTGTCACCACCTCCCTCCCTTTCGTCTTTACCAAGACTTGCCTCGTCCTGGTTTTCTTCATCACCTACGCCCCCTTTTCCCCTATGATGTTCATCACTTTTATCATCAACTCCACTGTTATTACTTTCTTGTCTTTTTTCATCATCATCATCATCCTCACCTTCCTCACCATGGTTGTCATCTTCTCCTCTATTACCACGGTCATTACCTTCCTCCCTTTCTCCATTATCTTGGTCATCCTCACTACGATTTCCTTCATTATTGTCATCATCATCGCCACCATTGTCATTATTCTTTTCATTTTCCTCTCCATCATCTTTATCTGTCTCACTGTTTGTATCTTCATCATGTGTGTCATCATCAACTCCAGTATCCTCCCCTTCACTACCTTCATCTTGCCCTTCATCATCACTAGTATTACCCTGACTATGATTGTCCTCATCATCGCCGTGATCCCCGGCCTCTGAATTATAACCATCCCCATCATCATCATCATCATCATGATCCTCCTCCTCCTCCTCGCCATCGATGTCATCCTCCTCCTCTTCGTTGCTCACCTCCATGCGTGTAGTCTTATCGACTTCAATGACAAAACGTAAATTCATCAATTTCAGCAACTCATTGATAACCTGAATTAATTCGAACTGCAACACATAACGACCATCATCCATCCAAGGCGGAATCACGCTGCTGGGCACCGTACCATTTCGTATGAAATAGAAACCATTTACCAGCGGACACGAAGTTATGAAAGTGTCCTGCAGTAGAAATGGCCTTCGTGACTCCTTGCGATACGAAACATTTCGATAGCCATCCAAAGTTTTGCAAAAATCCAAATTTCGTATTTTGTAGACATCCTTGGATGGCTGACCCTTGACCTGGTTATATTTACGTACGAACAAATTCAACAACAACTGGCCACTGAATGGCCGAAAGGCGGTGAAATTGTAATAGATTCCAATGCCATTTTCCAATTCATAATCGATTTTCAGGGCATCCGGCACAAATGAATGTGAATAGAATTTGTCAACATTCAACGGATACTGAAAGTGAAAAGAATAGGGAGGGGACAGGTTTAGTTTTGTTCAAACTCCGCTAATGGCTATCCATATGCTTAGCGTACAGCGTAAATATTTGCTGTCAACAGCACAAACGCTCCCAATATTATTTGTATGGATTTTAAAATTCTTTGCATTTTCACTGTTGACCACATTTTATGTTAATTCCAAAACAACGAACCTCGAACTCTTTTTGTGAGTTGAGGCTGCTGCCGTTCCATGCTTCATGACTTAATGGCGTTTATCTGCCGTTATTATTTTAATTATTCATCAGATATCGGTTGTTTGATTTGTTTTTTTTTTCAATTTTATAGGACTATTATGGATTTTTTCAAGGTCACACAAATGAGCATGACCAATTTTGCTGAAGCTGCTGTTTGGATGAATGATTTTAGGTGGGGCGTTTTTTTTTTTTTTTGCCGATAGCCATCTGTGCAGCTGATGTGTGTAAAAGGCCCGAATTGTGAGGATGAAAAACGAACGATTTCAGTAGAATGACCTTCTTTTTACGGAAAACCTGTAAAAGTGGTGCTGCTAAGAGAAATTACTTTAAAAATTATCCACGTGTAAAGGGCGGAAAATACTGCTAGTATCTGAACATAAAAAACACTATGCAACACAAAAAAAGTTACATTAAAAATCCTGCAGTTTACATCACGAGGTAACCTACATAGAGGGGACAAGTTCCCCCTCTTTCAAATTTTTTGCAATTCTCGGATTAAGATTCCCTGGAATCCGAGCTTTATAGGTATATAATGTCTTTGGCAATTTTACAGATAACAATAGAAGGATTTTTTGATGACATCTTTAACCCTCAAGCGAGTCACCATAGGGGTCTTTTGAAATATTAGTATAAACAAAAACTAGTTAAATATCTGTCGGTTTTACCTCAGCTATTTAGTACCTTTCGTTCATTCATAGTACGCATTTTAAAAAACACCTCCATATCTCAATACCTGATACCAACAGAGACCTCAATATCAAGTTAAAGGATTCCAACCCTATTCCTTCACCCAATATCAAATTTAGTACCATTTACTACTTCTCGTATTTCCATCGTACGGGTTTCCAAAATCACCTCCATATTTCAATCACAGATACCAACCGTGACCTCAATATCCAATTTCATTGTTTTAGGTCTATCCCTTTCACCCAATACCTAATTTAGTACTTTTCGTACAAATATAGGACTCATCTCCAAACAACCGTCAAATCCCAAACACATTTACCAATAGTAATCAAAATATCAAATTTCAGAATTTTATCTCTACTCTTTCATCCAATACCAAATGTAGTACCATTAAGTACTTTTCGTAAAATTATAGCACACATTTCCGAAAGCATCACATACAGGGTGAAATGAAAAAAACTGCAAGGAACTTCAGACTGCTGTCATTTCTAAGCCACTCGTCCGACAGCTGTTAAAATTATTTCAGTGACAGCTCATTATATTGTCCACAAGCGTACAAAAGCATTTTGGTGAGAATTTTCCAGATAAAAAAAAGTTCTACGTGATGGAATTCAAGCGTGATAGTGTGATTTCTTTATATTTGACTGGAAAGCCACAAGTGGCTATCGTTAGAGCACTCCAGCATTTAAATGTGAATAAATCTTTTTCGTCTCGTACCATCGCTCGTTACCGTGATACTGATAGCGTAGCTGGACATCAAGGAAGTGGACGGAAGAAAATAGCAAAATCAGCAGAAATGGTTCGAAAAGTAAAGAAGCGTCTTGATCGAAACCCACATAGCATTGGCCGAAAAATGGCTTGTGGGCTGAACATATCGCAATATTTCATTCGGCAAATATTGAAAAATGAGCTCGGGTTAAAGCCATTGGAATTCCAAAAATTGCAAGAACTTACACCGCAACAGAAAGAAAATAGACTCAAAAGAGCTAATGAGTTGCTTCGCTTGACCGAAAGTGGTGAACGGCCGAATTTGGTTTTCTCCAATGAGGAAACATTCGTTGTCCAGCAGTTTGTAAACAAACAAAATGATCGTGTTTACCTACCACAGAGATCAGCTGAAAATGTGCACCCTCGGTTTGCCACCAGAACTCAAGCGTCGGCCATGCGAATGGTGTGGGCCGTCAAAACAGCCGATGGTCGCTCTCCGTGGCATCAAAATAAATGCGGAATATGGCATCAAAATACATGCGGAATATTATCGCGAAAATATCCTGGAGGGTGTAATAAAGCCTTGGGCGCGCCAACATTGGACATTCCAACAGGACTCAGCACCATCGCCATTAGCCACCAAAATCTCCGGATATCAATCCGTTGGACTATTGTGTCTGGAGTATTTTGGAAAGCTTTCATTCAATAAAATTAAAAAAAAATGTAAAAATTATGGAGTTTGACTTTGTTGCAGTTTTTTTATCTCACCCTGTATAATAGTATTTAGCATTTTTCATGCACTTGTAGTACACATTTCCAAAACGACCTCTTTAATACAAACCTACCACAAACCGACACTCCATTTTAGAACTTTTCCTTTTAGTATAAAACATAGCCTAATTACACGTCTACGCACCAATTCTGATCCATGTTCAAAATTTCAAGCTTCTAGCTCCAGCCGTTTCGCCTGGGGGTTAATTCTCGATCAGTCAGTCAGTTATTTCAGTACTATTTTATTTATATATAGATTTTGATGTCTAGTGGGACCTATAGTAGAATTTTATAACGAATACATTTGGAAAGGAAGGTCCACCTCCACCTTGGAAAGGAAGGTCATTCCGTTTATAACATCCCTAGATATTCGTCTATTCGTCTTCCGTTTATAAAAATGTCGAAAATATCCCTTTTCTGACTCGCACAATCGGCACAATCCGAGAATTTCCAAGAATGTGGAGAGGGGTCAGCCTTTCCCCTGCCCAAACTTGAGTTTTGGTGTTATCAATAAAAAGGTTTGATTCAAGTTCTACTTGTAAGATCACCCAGGAGGCGAATTCAGTCTTGGTCAATGTCAACTTTTTTTTCGTGGCGTAAACTTTTTCCGAAATTTCATTGGATCAAATTTTTCAAAAAATTTGAAAGTTTTCGATGTGGTCTATTACCTGCAAAAATCTTATAGCTTTTCACTTTTTATACCCTACAACACTATGTGTTGGAGGTATTATAAGTTTGATTGGGCCAGAATTTATGTAACCCCTCGAAATATTGGTTTCCCATATAGGAAAGTATATATGGATCTTCCTAGCTCGCCGAGCTGAGTCGATCTAGCTATGTATGTCCGTCCGTCCGTCTGTCCATGTTAATTTGTAATCACTCTACAGGTCGCAATTATGGCCCGATCTTCACGAAATTTTGCACGAAGGTGGGGTTAATGACAGAATAGAACCCTATTTCTTTTGGAGATGATCGCATAATATTTAGGGGTTGAAATGGACCAAATACTGAAAAAATGTCGGATTTTGCAGTAGCTATAGCGGTCGCAATTATAGACCAATCGACGCGGAATTTCGCATGTAGCTAGAGTTTAGGGCGGGGAAGAAGCCTAACAATTTGGGTGGTCATCGGATAATATTTAGCGGGTAAAATAGACTATATCTTCTGTGTTGAAAAAATTCAAAATTTTTCATTAAACCGCGAACATTTTAAATCCCGACGAAATCACAAGGCCATGACAAGGTTACTTCTGATCTTTACATTGATGTTAACATCCAACAAATCGGATATATAGCAAAATATATGCGATATATTTCTATCAAGGAAGATATGCTTGAAAGATCTCTTATATGTCGAGAACGGCTGAACTGATTTCGACAGTTCTCATTAATTCAGAATGGCCTCTTGGCAGGAAGGAAAAAACGTCTAAAAAAATCGCATAAAAATATCTCTCTAAAGATGAAAATATTGATTTTGTAAAATGTTCTCATATTTTTTCAATTTTGTCATATTTTTGGCATATTTTCATTTTGAATTAAACATTTGGTAATATTTCTACAGCTAACAAAACTAAGTAGTTAGGATATCAGGATATCATATACAGATCGCATTTATGGCCCGAAATATTGCATGGAGATAAGGTGAGGGTCAGAATAAAAGCCTATTCTTTTTGGAGATGATCGCCATATATTTAGGGGTTGAAATGGACCAAAAAAACTGCAAAATTGTCAGCAGGTCGTAATTATGGGGGTTACCGGACATTGCAAAAGCCAAGCAGTTTTGGATGGCCATCCAAAAATATTCAATGTGTGAAGGAGATTGCCAACTTTTATAGACAAAATAGTTTAGTCAAAAACCAATAATAAATGTTAATCTTTTGCCACTTCTGAGAGATTATAGGTCTTTGGGAAATATTGGTTCCAGATCTAGGAAGACCATTTTCGTGCAACATCTACCAATACATTGGAAATGAGCAATTTCGTTTAAGTTGCTATTATTCGAAAATTAGAGAACGAAACCTGATGGTTGTCTTTTATTATTTGTCACAATATCTTGTGGAATTCTTTCGAGTATCTTGCCTATATAAACTGTATCGTTTATTATAGTGTTGTAGGGTATTCAACGGTCGGCCCCGCTCGACTGTAGCCTTTGCTTACTTGTTTTTTTTTATACCCTACACCACATAGTGGTAAGGGTATTATGTCTTTGTGCATTTGTTTGTAACATGGAGAAGGAAACGAGATAGACCCATAGTTACTTTTGAGAACCTTCATAGAATCACTTTCTGAGTCGATTTATGCATGTCAGTCCGTCTGTCCGTCCGTCCGTCTGTCCATGTATTCTTGTGAACAAAATGCAGGTCGCATTTATTATCCGATTGGTGAGAATCGGATCAAATTTAGATATAGCTCTCATATATATCTTCATCCGATTTCGGGTTAAATGTGCACCAAATGTCCACTGTCAGTCCAAATTACCTGAATTTTGGCACACCCAACCGAGTTCGGCCTAGAAGCAAGAATATCAAATTTGGAGAAAATCGGTTCAGATATAGCTATAGCTCTCATATATATCTTTCATCCGATTTGATCTTTAAGTCCCTCACATTCCTACTATGCACTCCACAACCGAGATATTTGGTACCAGGTATTAGATGGAGCACAGAAATAGCTGTTTTAAATTTTATCGAAATCGGTTCAGATTTGGATATAGCTCCCATATATATCTTCATCCGATTTCGGGTTAATTGACCACCAAATGGCCAATATCAGCCCAAATGGCCCGAATTTTGGCACATGTGACCGAGATTAGCCTTAAAGCAAATACAACAAATTTGGAGAAAATCGGTTCAGATTTGGATATAGCTCCCATATATATCTTCATCCGATTTCGGGTGATTGACCACCAAATGGCCGTAATAGCATCAATTTTGGCAAATCCGACCGAAACCAGCTTAGAAGCAAGTACACCAATTTTAGTAAAAATCGGTTCAGATATAGCTATAGCTCCCATATATATGTTTCATCCGATTTGCTGTTTAAGTCCCTTACATTCGTAATATACTCTTCACAGAAATGATATTTGGTACCAGATATCAGATAAAGCCCAGAAATAGTCGATTTTAATTTTATAAAAATCTGTTCAGATTTGGATATAGTATAGCATAGCACACTCTTCACAGGAATGATATTTGGTACCAGATATCAGATAAAGCCCAAAAGTAGTCGATTTTAATTTTATCAAAATCTATTCAGATTTGGATATAGCACCCATATGTATCTTCATCCGATTTAGTGTTAATTGTGCAACAAATGGCCAACATCAACCGAAATGGCATTAATTTTGGCATATCTGGCCAAATTCAGCCTAGAAGCAAGGACACCAATTTTAGTAAAAGTCGTTTCAGATATAGCTATAGCTCCCAAATATATCTTCGTCCGATTTCGGATTAAATGTGCAGCAAATGGCAAATATCGGCTCAAATGACCTGACTTTTGGTAGTCTAGAAGCAAGTACATCAAATTTAGTGAAAATCGGTCGGATACAGCTATAGCTCCTATATATACCTTTCATCCGATTTGTACTTTAAGTCCCTCAAATTCGAAAAATGTACGATACAAGAATAATATTTGGTATCAGATGCAGCCAAGAAATATCTTATTTTTCAGTTTTACAAATATCGGTTCAGATTTGGATATACCTCCTATATATATCTTCATCCAATTTCTTGTTGATTGCGC